CCTGCTCATTACTGTGCACAAATGTACTGTATGTACTTTGTCCTAAAGAGCCCTTCTGGTGCCAGTAGATACATAGAAACATCCCAGCACGTTGTGCTTTGCAAGCATACAAAAAAGTTTCACGCATGTGAAAATTATTTTTCATGCGTGTGCTTCACCTCCGCTGCTACAACTCCATCCTAGGGGAAACACTGCTGTGTGCTTTTTGTGCAACAGGTGGATGTGGTAGTCTACTGGTAGAGTAGAGAAAGAGAACTAAGTAGCGTTCAAGTAGAGTAGAGCAGGGCAGAGAGATGGAAGCAAAATATATTAAACCCGGTGTTAATACAGCAGAACTAGAGAGAGGGGTGAAAAATAAATAGAGGTGGGCATGGCTCAAGTAGGGCGCAAAATTATAGACAGAGAACGATTGACAAATTTATCACTTTAAGCCCTGACACGGTCATGTTTGCGTAGGAATTAAGCTACAATACATGACATATGTTGTTTTAATTAATAAATACAGTGTGAATAAAGATTACATAACATAAAAATAACTGCAGTCTTTGTTATTTGATAGCCGCTTAAATTAAACAATTTTTATAGGGCAAGTAAAAACTGACTTCGGGCAAGTAGATCTCTGACCAACTTGCCCAACCGGGCAAGTGAAAAAAAACCTTAGCATTGAACCATGTCTTTCCTATTTGGGAATGGTTGTACAAGCAATCAATACTACAAAGGTAGCTATGATGTATGCATATAGGTATACGTTATAGGAAATGTGCAGATATTTTTGTGCTGTACATTAATCAGTAGTGATTACATGTTCTTGAAAAATGACCTACAGTATTTCCCTATCGATATCGTTTTGTCTTTGATGCAGTACTCAGTATTATCAGCAAAAGATGATTATGTTTGGATTATAAAACCACATTACAAGGAGTTACTTTGAGCTTTGAGGGATTAAAAATGTTCATAATAGTACTGTTTAAGAAACAGTTTTGAATATTTTGAACATGGTAGTTTCCACTGAAATCTACAGAATAATTTAGCATGTTTGTTATACACTGTATGAATCTCATATTTTAGTGCAAGTTAAGGTGTGAGTAACAGTGTAGAAAGTGCTCTGTTGACAAATCTGATCACAGTCCATCAGTTTATGACATACATAGCCAGTGGTGTCACACATTTCCATTGTTTTTTTTTTTGTGTGTTTTTTACATTTGTAGTCCCCGGTTTTGAAATTGTGGAACTTAACCAGTATTTACTCATCAATGATGATGGTGTCTCATCTCTTCTATTGTCAACACCTGGAAGGAGACACCCATATTTAGCTTTTGTGTTCAGTGATGAGTGACGTAGAATGCTTAGGCAATAGTACCTGCTAGAGGCGACATAGAAATCCTTCCAGTGTGAATAACTCATTAGGGACATACTCACTTCTCTGTGATCTACTCTTGGTCACTGCCAAAGAAGAACTGGTTTAACCTATTTGTACTTAATACTTAGAAAATTTTGAAATGCAACCTGAGTGTTGTTTTTTCTGGGTTAATTTTTGAGTTTAATGAGTTAAATTTTTGAGTTTGATACTGTATTTAGTAGTAGTAGTATTTAGTAGTACGGAATATTGATAACCCAGTAGCAGATCTTAAATTTAACCTTTGCCTTTTTTAAAAAAAGATTTTTGTTTACTCTCTAATCTGCATGAATACAAATGTTCATTGTCATTGTTCCTGCAAAAGTTAATTCACTGCTGCACTGTAGCATATTACCAAGTATTTGGTTTAATTGTATTAAAAAAACTTCTGTATGGTGAACTGTATTTATGGAAAAACCTGCATGTACACCATATTCACTTAACAGTACAATCTGAGCAAAATGAACAAGTCCTGTTCATTTAAAGAGATAAAATCTATTTAACATACCCAAACCAGAGAGGCATGACAGCTGCCTCAATTATAACAAAATTTCATGTCACTTTTTAGTCTCAACTTCCTGAAGCCTGTACGCTCTATAACACATTTTTATACCTCTGCACCAGTGATAGCTGTGGCCAGAGGCATTATGTTTTCGGGTTGTCCATCCACCCAGCTGTCTGTCCGTCCATCCGTCGGACATTCACTTGGACTCAAAGATGAACTGATTAGAATATGTTGGTCAAAGGTCAAAGTCCCATTCTCCTGAAAGCAATATCTCAAGAAGGCCTGAAGGGAGTTTTGTCACATTTGGCACAAACAAATTTGGCGGTTGAAGGTCAAAGGTCAGTGTGACCCCACAAAACATGTTTGGCCATAACTCAAGAATTCATGTGCTAATTATGACAATATTTCACACAAATGTCTAATAGGATGAAGGAGTGATTGCATTTTATATCCAAAATTCAAAAGGTCAACTTCACTGTGACATCATAGTGTTCTGTAAAAACACTTTTCTGGCCATTACTCAGTGTCATAACTCAGGAACAGAAGGGGAGACATTTAGTCAGACACTGAATTGATGGCACTAATCTTGGGTGTCCACCTTGAAACTGTGCTGATTGTATAGATCTTGTGTGCTGTCAGGGTGAAGATGTGTGTGAAGCATCTGTGTTTTCACAGACTTGGATGTGAACTGAATGTATGACTTCACTGGTGTGCGTAGGCATACAACCGTGAGGTGGAGATTCTAGTTATGTCTAAACACCTGGTCTATATTTAAACACAAACTGTGACATCAGCTTGTACAATCCACCAGACTGACTTAAGCTTTTACAGAAGGCTCATCAGGTAAAATCATCAAACCTGCATTGGTCTGCAAACATCCTGTTACGTTGTGTTGTACTTCGTGGGCTGTAGGGTTTATTTTCCCCACTTCCTTTTTTTTTATTCCTTCCTCAAAGGAAACATTTTGTTGATAGTAATAGATATGTGAGAGCTAAAAATAGCTCCTGTGTTGTGATTCTATTTTTAGCTCAGTGAGTCGAGTGCTCTTAGTGTCACTCATTTGTTCTTGCATCAGACTTGCGTAATTTCTCACTTACTGTGAGATATGTGCTTTTTATGTACACACATTGTGTACGTACATACTGCAGAACGCCCCTCATTCACTGTGGTTGAGCAGCTGATAGTGTAATTCCAAGCATGTTTCCTTGATTGGTGTTAGTGTTAGTTTATTCTTCCTTGTTACATGTGGTATTAAACTTCAAAGAGTTTGTGCAGCACATTGTCCCAAGGCACTTTCTGTTGTGTGTAAACAAGTTATGAAGTCAAGCCTTTGCCGATACTAGGCAGCAGCTGACACAGACAGGCCTCCTTTAAGCGGTCATTCAAAGTTTCTGTAATACAGGACAGTTTAATTCACAGTGGGAATATCCACTCTTCTTGTTCATTTCCTCCAACAAATATTTAGATACACCCTTTAAGATAAACACTTGATTCTTGCTGTCTTTTTCCTCAAAAGTAAACATTGGCCTCTCTACACTGGGGAAAATCCCATACATGTTGATTGTAAATGTCATGGCTGTGACTTAACTATCGCTTCATTGCAAATCGGCTCACATGTACAGCCATCAGCCACAGCATTAAACCACTGACATGTGAAGTGAACAATATTGATCATCTGGGAAACCTGGTGTCCTGGCATTCATGTTGATGCCATTCGACACCTAACACCCACCCAAACATCTTTTCAGACCAAGTACACCCCTTCATGGCAACGCCGCCTCCCTGATACAATCAAGCATAAGTGGGATGGCGGTACCCCTCCTTGCAACCCACAAGCCTAAAAAAAAGGATGTGCCACCAACGCCCTGGTACCAGACATCACAGTGTCCATGCCTCAACAGGTCAGAGGCCCACTGTTGATTTGACTTGGCTTTGACCTCTCGAGGCATTGACAGGGCCTCTGGGGTACCGTCACATCCCACAGATGCACGATGGTAGCCGGGTTGAAGCCTTGAGCTCTTTGTTCCATTCTGTGGGACATTGCTGAGCAGTTTTTGTGGTGCATTATCATGCTGGGGGGTCACTGCCATCAGGGATTGCTTTTGCCATGAGGGAGTGTACTTGGTATGCGCTGGCGTTTTGGTGGGTGATGCATGTCTAGTGGCATCTAGTGGATAGGATGCATAGCAATATAATATCTCATTCATATTGCAAATACAAATTAAACTATTGGTAGCCTACTGGAATAATAAAATCAATTAATTCAGTCCATTATATACATTTGGCTATAAAAAAAAAAAAAATTGATTCAAGTGAAATGAAAAGACTGAAAACTTTACCTTTTAAGAAAAAACATATCTTGACAAAGTTTTCTTTTGGGAACATAATTTGCAGTTGAAAAAGGTAACAAATTGCAATGGATGTTATCATAATATTCACCGTATTGCATAGCGTTAAAATATTGTATTATGAGTTAAGTATACAGATAATATCGTATTGTGGGGCCACCGGTGATTCCCACCCCTACATTGTGATTTCTTAAAATTTTAAGCATCATAGTACAAACTTCTCATTTTGAGGTCAGAGGATTCTCAGAGCAACTGGTGGCTTTATTGCTGACTTGATAGTTAACTTCTAGCTGCTTTTGTGATGAAGTCACATTTAGTTGGAGGAGTGGTTGTTGTTTTTAACAAGAACTGGACTAAGCCTTTCCACAGCTGCCACTCACATCCTAAACCAGAATGAAAGAATGCAGAGTTGAAGCTGCAGCTCTTTCAAACTTTTGACCAAGCTGTCTCTCAGTTTCTAAATTAGCATTTTTGGAATTTAATGGAAAAACAAATGAGTCATCATCTGAGGCTTCCAGACAGAGTAGGAAGAAAAACAAGCTGTTAGTGATGCCAAACAGAAAACCCTTAAGCAAGTGTTAAAGCAGCACATATTTCTTTATCATGTTAAATAATATTTAACATGAGTAATTTTGTTGTGAATATTTAAAACATAAAAGATGTATAGGTACATACAGTAGTCTATCCCGAAAGAGAAAAATGCTGCCACTTGTCTCTAACCAGCCATTGATCATCTCTTCAATCTTCCCAGTAGGCCGATGGAGCCTCCCTCAAATAAGGAGGTTGTTCCAGTCATGAGGCGACCAGATGAGTGGAAGGACCCGTGGCGTCGGTCCAAATCTCCCAGAAGGCGCCCCGGGCTGGGCTCCCCACCTCGAGGCCGCCGGCGACATCGGCCCTCAGGCTCCTCTGTCTCTCTGTCCAACTCCTCCAGGTAAGAACTCCTCCTTTAAGTCAGGATATCCTGTGTCGTTATCATTGGGAAAGAAGTTTTCACGGGTTGAAAAACAAGCAGCATTCACGTTATGCTGAGTTGGAAAAGCATTTTGTCTAAATGTGCCTGACAGTTACACAAAAGTTGAAATAAAAATGAAGGTCTAGTTCGAAGATGGATGTGGTCAGAGCTTTACGCCCCTTGCCCACATTCATTTTAAGACTGCATTCACACCAAATGCAGCATTGAGGCGATGAGCTGCAGGGTTTTGCGGCAGTGTGGAAGTGCCACTTAAAAATTTGTTAGGGAGTGGAGGGTGGAGAAAAAGCCAGTAACCCCATCTCAGCAACTGAGTACTTTGTTTGTGTTGGCTCAAAACATCTGCAGAATTCCTTTTGATTATCATTACTGTATCTTTATTGCCACAAAAGAGACGTGCACACACAGAGCGAGCTCTCTCCTTTGTAGTATAGTACAAACCAGCTGTTAATACATACATTGTTATTTCTTTTACTCACTATAATATTTGATGATAGAAAGAGACAGTTTTTTCTCTGTTCCCTTGGACTTTGGGCGTCTTTCCAATCCGATTGCTTCTTACATGATTGGGCACCTCTGCGTGACATTTGGTTTCGTTCATGCAAAATTTGAATCTGTTTCAAATTTTCTGCGCAGGTCACTGATAAGTTGGTCTGTTTTTGTTAATCAGTGTCAGAAGCCTCAAATCCACTTTGGTACAGAGCAGTGGTGGAGCAGTGATTTTAAATGTGGGGGTGTTCCAGGGGTGGCACATGAGCACCACATCCTGCCTGCCTTTGGCTGTTTCCCTCTCCAAAATTAATGCTCCCAGACAGTATTCAGAGGTTCTTCCAACATAGAGTCGGTCATTATGAACTGAGAGTCATTCATTATGAACATGTATATTTATTAAAACAAATTTAATCTGTTATCAATTTTTAATATGAACATATACCAAACCATATCATTGTAGGCTACCTGAGAACTGAGACAAGACATCCACACATAAAGTACAGTCAAGTAATGAATATCTTTCTTTTTCAGGACAACCTGGAAAATCAGAATATGTATGTTGAAAATTTCAGCATACATATTCATTCATGTGACATTTAATGATGTCACATGAATGGATTAAAAGTTATATGACTACAAAAACAAAAGAAAAAATTTTAAAAAATTAACCGGGAATTGAATTTCACGGAATTTTATTTTTAAAAAACACACATATCAACAGTTATCAATTTATCTTTATTTTATCATGGAGGATTATTAGGCTATTTCTTTCTTTTCAATTCTGGCAGAAAACTATCTTGCCTCAAGTTGATCTTTGGCTGCTCCTGATTGGATGCTACCGTCAAAAAACAAAAGAAGAAGAAATAGTAGCATCTGATTGGTCGAGAGACTGACCAGAAGTCGTCATTGTTTACGTCAAGCCCATAGACTGTTTATAAAAAAAAGGTCAAGCCTCACAATGGAGGTCCGGTATCATAATTTACATGTTTTTAATCATAAAATGTAATATTTAATTACTATCGCGGAGTTATCACGGTGGATTTACTGTAGCCTAGGCTACGAGGTTCTTGGGAGAGAAAAAAAACCTCTGCACTTAACGGCTGGATTGAAAACTTTCTCGAAAAGATTGTCCTGAGCCCACCGTAGATCGCCAAAAGAGTAAGCTTCTGATCACAATTTTCCCCATTAAGTTTCTTTGTGTGGTGTGGTGTGGGCTGCGGGGTAGAGCAGGGTCTCCGCTGACAGATAGATGATGTTGATTTGAGGGGGCGGCGGAGAGCCGGTTTCCTCTGCATTCACTTACATGACAACTTGACTTGAAAAAGAAGTCAATTTTCTGCTGCTGCCTCTTCCTTTTTGGCAACTCTGCCTCCTTCTTCTCTCTGTTGTGTGTCAGTGTTGTTCAATGTCAGCCATGGGTGAGTGACAAAAGCTCTGACTGATGTAACTTCAAATTTTGCGGGCCGGCGGCCGGTCGCGGACAACAGTCTGTGATTGGGTGAATGTCCATTCAATTTGACCAATGCCTTTTCATGCAGCATAAGGGGGGGTGAGGTGCGCTCCATTTTTGTATGCTGGTGCACTGCCAGGGTGGGCAAACGGGTTTAGCTTTGGAAAATGTCTGGGGGGTGAAAATGTGGGGGGGATGAAATCATTTTGCTGTAAAAGTGGGGGTGTCAAAACACCCCCATCCCCCACGGGTGCGACGCCCCTGGTACAGAGTCATAAAACAGTGAAACATGCCCGAGGCAAGGGATGAAATAAAGAAATACTTTAATCATAATGAGGAAGTAGATAAAGGTAAGTCATTTGTTCAATAGTTAATCAAGGTGTCCATCAAAGTAATAATCACCATAATTATATAATTTCATATCCCTGTGCAAATGGATTTAGGTGCAGTCAAATAACTGAAGACGTCTTGTTTACTCACTCTGCGTATTGTATATACACAAAGCAACAACCTCTTGTATTTGTATTTGTATTTGTATTGTATAAGTGGCAGACATATACAGCATTTAAGAGTGTAATATTCCAAGTTGATCCTGCAAGTGTGGAAACATTTGAGACATTATGTTGATTATGTAGCGTCAATCATTTTTCAGGGCAGAGGTTTTTTTTTTCCTTGCAGGACTTAATCCCATGTGGTTGAGGGGTGCCCACACATTTTCAGTGGGAAAGAGGTCTGGACTGCAGGCAGGCCAGTCTAGTACCCACACTCTTTTACTACTTAGAATCTACATTCACTGAATGTAGAGTCTGTATATAGAGACTATACAGTATTCAACTGAATATAGGTCAAAAAAGGATTTTCACATTATTGCATTATGTTTTTATTAAGCTTTATGCAGCATTCCAACTTTTTAGAATTGGGGTAGTAATAGTAATATTAAATATGTAAAATTAAATTTATGACAAAGTTAAGTTGAATGCAATAATCCTGAGGATTTATGGTTCATTATGAAGAAGTGTCTTAAGTCACTGAACAATAGCATGAGACAATGCAGAGTGATTGCACCTAGCACTGCCATTCTTTTGTCTAATCATAATAGAGCTTTTCAGGCCTATTTCAAGGGTGGCTACGATGCAAAGAAAGTTGTTGTTGAATTGTCAATCATGCTATCTTGGATACCTCTAAAGCATAAATATTTCGCATGCCAGCTGGCATTATTGTCTGCACTTCATATTCTGTACATCCTGAATGTCAGAGAAAAACACCTACTCTTCTCCATTTCTCACTACAGAGACACTTCATTTTAGTGCCCCTCTCTTTAATGGTACGCTCCATTTGCACTGGGAAGTTGGAATTTCTGAGATCCCAGTTGGAAATTTCAACTGGAGCTCCCCTAGAGTTAGATTTCTGACCAAGAAAGGAACCTCAGTGACAATGACTCCAACCTCAAAATCCAATGTGGCTGCTTCGAAATCAGCAACAAAGTTTACGTGTTTTCCTGATGGTAGCATGTAGCTACATGTAGCAGTGCATGTAATGTAAGGATCTGCAGTAGTGTGCCTGGAGCAGATGACCACAGGGATTACTTGAACCTGTGTTTAGCTCATTATTTGAAAGATGAACATCCAACATTATAACATTTTATATATGGCAGAAAATAAGGAAAAAAGCATGTGAGGTCCCCTATAAAAAGCTGTGTATTTTATCCTCACGAATTTGCTTTGTGTGATTGTGTGTTGCAGGTCTTCATCTCGCTCTTCATCCTATACAGGCTCTGGGTCTTCTCGTTCCCGTAGCCGCTCTTCCTCCTTCAGCTCCTACTCCAGCCACTCCTCTCAGCGCAGCTCCTTCAGTGGCAGCCGCTCTAGGTAAACGTGTGTGTGTGTGTGTGTTGTGTATGTTAAGTTGATAATAAATAAATGTTACGTTATTATGAAATTAATTCTAAAATGAATAAATGAGGCAATAAATATCTAAATAAATGTAAATATAAAAATGAATAAATATAGTTCAGAAATGAATTAGTAGATTTTTATTTCACGTGACATTTTTTCAAAGCATCACTTTTATTTATTTCAGAAGACTTTTATTTCTTATGCCAAATTTATTTCCCAGCTCCTTTTAGTCCCATCTGTTAATGCATGGGATGTGGTTATCTCCCTGATTCAGACCAAAGCAGCAGCACCAGAACAGCACTGACTGGCAGTCTCTCATCTCAGTTGAATTCATGAAGAGAACTTGAATGCCTCTGATAAACGAATAGTCCAAAAATGGAAAAGGTTTTGATGAATAGAAGTCATAGGGGTACGCATTAAACAACAGCAAATCTATATCAAAACATCGGTTTACAAGCTGTCACACAACTCATGCAGTATAATCCAAGTCACATTTATCCAGTCGTGTGCTCAGTACTTCCCAAACAGACTGCTCTTTCTGACGGGGAACTTGAAGGGGAAGTCACACTTCATCTACAGTCAGGTCCATAATTATTTGGACAATGATACAGTTGTCGTCATTTTGGCTCTGTACACCACCACAATGGGTTTTAAATGAAACAATGAATACCTGCTTAAAGTGCAGACTCTCAGCTTTCATTTAAGGCTTTTTTCAAAAATGTAGTATGAACCGTGTAGGAATTACAACCATTTCTTCACACAGTCCCCCGACTTTAAGGGCTCATAAGTATTTGGACAAACTAACATAATCATCAATTAAACAGTCAGTTTTAATACTTGGTTGCAAATCCTTTACAGTCAATGACTGCCTGAAGTGTTGGACACATAGGCATCATCAGATGCTGGGTTTCTTCCCTGGTGATGCTCTGCCAGCCCTTTACTGCAGCCGTCTGCACTTCCTGCTTGTGTTTTGGGTGTTTTGCCCTCAGTTTTGGCTTCAGCAAGAGAAACGCATGCTCAGTTGGATTCAGGTCAGATGATATGACTTGGCCATTGCAGAACATTCCACTTCTTTGCCTTAAAAATGTCTTTGGTTGCTTTTGCAGTATGCTTCAGGTCAATGTCCATCTGCACTGTGAAGCATCGTCCAATGAGTTTTGAAGCATTTGGTTGAATCTGAGCAGATAATGGTGCCCCAAACACTTCAGCTTTCATCCTGCTGCTCTTGTAAGCAAGACAAGACTTCACTAGAATAAATACAGAGGGTTTATCACAAGATGCAAACCATTGGTTAGCCTTAAAAATGGAAGGCCAGATTAGAGTTTGTCAAAAACCATCTAAAAAGCCTGTACAGTTGTGGAACAGCATACTATGGACAGATAAAACAAAGATCAACTACCAGAATGATGGGAAGACAAGAGAAGGAAGAAGGGAAGGAACTGCTCATGATCCAAAGCACACCACCTCATCAGTGAAGCATGGTGGAGGTACTGTTATGTCATGGCCATGTATGGCTGCCAGTGGAACTGGTTCTCTTGTATTTATTGATGATGTGACTGCTGACAAGAGCAGCAGGATGAAAGCTGAAGTGTTTGGGGCACCATTATCTGCTCAGATTCAACCAAATGCTTCAAAACTCATTGGACGATGCTTCACAGTGCAGATGGACATTGACCTGAAGCATACTGCAAAAGCAACCAAAGACATTTTTAAGGCAAAGAAGTGGAATGTTCTGCAATGGCCAAGTCATATCATCTGACCTGAATCCAACTGAGCATGCGTTTCTCTTGCTGAAGCCAAAACTGAGGGCAAAACACCCAAAACACAAGCAGGAAGTGCAGACGGCTGCAGTAAAGGGCTGGCAGAGCATCACCAGGGAAGAAACCCAGCATCTGATGATGCCTATGTGTCCAACACTTCAGGCAGTCATTGACTGTAAAGGATTTGCAACCAAGTATTAAAACTGACTGTTTAATTGATGATTATGTTAGTTTGTCCAAATACTTATGAGCCCTTAAAGTTGGGGGACTGTGTGAAGAAATGGTTGTAATTCCTACACGGTTCATACTACATTTTTGAAAAAAGCCTTAAATGAAAGCTGAGAGTCTGCACTTTAAGCAGGTATTCATTGTTTCATTTAAAACCCATTGTGGTGGTGTACAGAGCCAAAATGACGACAACTGTATCATTGTCCAAATAATTATGGACCTGACTGTATGCTCTCTGTAAAGCCAGACTCTATTGACAAAAAGAGTAGTTTTACCTTGCTGAACACAGGAGCTGCTGGTCGACCTCTGCCTTCATCAGTTTGTTTGTGTTATTGTGTGACTTATGTGTTTTAAAGGGTGAGTGCAGATTCACCAAAGTCACACAGTAACACAAACAAACTACCAGTGGCTGGCTTTGGGGAGAGCATGGATAAGTTTCACTTTCAGTTCAGTTCCTTGTCTGTAAGGGCTGTCTGTTTGTGTAGTACTGAGCATACAATTGGATAAATGAGACTTGGATTATACTGCGCAAGTTGTGCAGGAGTTTATAAACAGATTTGTTGATATAGTTTTACTGCTGTTAAAGGGTTGCAAACAGCTTGCTTTTCGGCGACTCTCACTTTTTCATGTCAATTTGAGTGACTTGTGGAAATCGTGTAGATCCTGGCGTGGACGTGGAAGAGTCTGGTTAATAATTTCACTAACAAACGAAATGAACAAATGACAATGGTGGGTGCAAAACAACTGTGTAGTGTACGCCCAAGCGTGAACCATCCATTTGGATGATGTGCTGCTGGATCAAAGATGATAGAGCACTACGTGTAGGGCAGGGTTGTCAGGTCAGCTTATTAGCCAAGTCTCATTTATCTAATTGTATGCTCAGTATTACACAAACAGACAGCCCTTACAGACAAGGAACTGAACTGAAAGTGAAACTTCTCCATGCTCTCCTCGAAGCCAGCCACTGGTAGTTTGTCTGTGTTATTGTGTGAATCTGCACTCACCCTTTAAAACACATAAGTCACACAATAACACAAACAAACTGATTGTTAGCTTGTTTCTAAAGTGGAGCTGCTTATTTGGGCTTGCTCTCTAAACGTTGCCTTTCTCTATATATATCCGTGTAATAATTTATTTAAACGCATGATAGTATGTCTGACTGCAGGATGTTTCCACAGCTCCGCTCCCTCCGCCCCTCTCCTTCTCCACATACACACAGGTGACGGTCAGTCAGTGAGACTTTTCACATTTAAATTGCGCGATTAATGGAGGTTCTTTAACTATTTCACTAACAAGTGGGCGAAATATGGAAAGAATAAAATAAAGATTTGTAGGAAGAGAGAGGATTAAAAGATTCAACTTCAAGAGGGGGGCGATTCAAAGGCAGTGTGCAGATTCAGATTCTGTGTGAAATATGTACTCATTATTCAGATCTTGTTCAGCATACCAGCACTGTTACAGTGAAAGTAAAATGGCTTGTTATATGCAACTTCTTTACTTTAATTTTCATTGAGTCATTTATTCTTTCCACGTCTTTGGTCAGCTGGTTGGTTTGATAGAGTTCAAGGGCAGTAAATATAATGAATTTGTAAAGTAATTTTGAAACAGTTGCTTATGAAATGCTGATAAGTCCAGGCACATACTGCATGCTATATATTTATATAGACAGATTAACTAATACAGTGGTATTTTTAAGGTTGTCATTTTCATGCCAAACAACGCAAACATTCCATAAACATTCCGCATTTTATATCAATACCAGAGTGACCAAGTACCTTGTAGCTGGTATAAAAAAAGAGGTAGGTAGAAAGAGGTAGGTTGAACTGCACTCTGTTTTGGTAGTTTTCCTGAAACATTCTACTTTGTTCATTTGCAGAATGAGGGGAATTGAGTGTATTGAATACGAATATGTATATGAATATTCAGAATTTCTTTTTTTATCATACAGTCCTGTAAAAGCTATTATCCAACACTTATTCATTCATGCATATTCAGATGGCTCTTAGTTTGAAACTGACATGTTATTTGTAGTAGGCCAATCTACCTGCTTTGTTCAATGCTTCCAAATTAGTGTTTGTGTATTTTAATACTCAGAATTTAGCTTCGACAAGCTCTCTCTTTTTTGACCATACACCTGTTTGCATCCCTGAAAAGTGGTCGCCTGTGACTTCATTTCATCAAGAATTTTCTGTTTTTGGATTCTTGACCAAAGACATGCGAGAAAAACAAGGTTTAGCTGTCATATTTTTAGCCACACTAAAGAAAAATTACATTAATTTTAATTTAAAATAACCATACTTAACATAAAGGTGACAACAATTAGGACAACTGTAACAAAGTCTATTGACAATATAGCAACAATTGGAATTAAACTGCAGTAAAGTTACACTGGATCCTCCACAGTAAGAACAAGAAGAACATTCATAGGCTCAGAAACACAGTTTTCGAGTGCAGGTCTGTAAACATAATGACATTTTCATGACTACTTTACTGTTGATTTATAGGTCTCGATCATTCTCCACATCCCCCTCACCGAGTCCAGCAGCACCAAGGAATACCAAGAACAAACCAGATCTCCCCCCCGTGTTAGCTAAAGGGTAACTCTTAAGCACTTACATTGATTTAATCCATTGTCAGTCATACTTATATTATGTGCTTCATACATACACTCATTAGTGTTAAGCTCTTTTTTTTGTTTGTTTGTTATTTTGATGTTTTTTTGTTTTTGCCGTAGTTGTAAATAATGTAACTCATAAATTGTCATAACAAGGCAAAATGCAGTCTGAGGTTTGGTCTTGCTCCAGCATCACATTACATCATGCCTGTTTATTGATTATATTTTATTCATCTTTAGCTATAGCATTGCATATGCTCTGCTGACATGCTGGTTGTTGGCATATGCCTGCCCATCACTGTTTGCATGCTTGAAAAAGTGCCTTTTCCATCCCTAAGCATGCCGCTGAAGCCGGGTGCCATGCCCCCTCCTCGCAGGGACAAGCCTCCCATGAAGAAAGCTCCCAGTCCTCCTCCACCTGGTGGACTGCAGGGCAGGCCCCCCAAACCCCTGCCAGAGGGAGGAAAGCCTCCCACCAATCCCCGGGAGGCTGGGGGCACAGGAGGTGGGGCAGGCAGCGGTGGAGCGGGTAGACCCTTGCCTCCAAGGGAACCTGGAAAACCTCCCAACCCGAGGGAAGATAGGCGGAAAGAACGGCAGCAGCATCCTCCCCGGAGGTAGGTGTCTCACCATCAAACTCTCAGTTCATTTTGAGGCTATAGTACTGTTTTACATTATCTGCTGTGGGGTCAGCTTTGACTGAAAATCTGTTGGATTACATTATATTGCAAGAGGAATTTGATTTACGGCAGGAATCAGGAAAAGAAAAAGTCCCATTCCAGTTAGTCTGTTTAAACTCAATAGCCTGTTGTCTCACCTGGTCAAAATGCCGGTGTCCAATCTGGTGTGACCTGTTACTACATACAACACCTGTCTGGGGAATTCTAAAGTTGTGACATTTTAGTTGACCCGCATCCAAATATGCATTAGTGGTTTCATAATGAATCATTTACAAGGAAAACAGGCATTTTCTGTTGACAGCTGACTCTCATGTAATTTAGTCAACTAGTAGAATTATGCTTAAGACCAAACAAGGTATCTTACTTTTACCATAACAGCTTTAGACTTTGAACATTTCAAAGTCAACAAGGTGCGTGCGTGCTAAATATTGTCCTGGGGGGGCGCCCCAGTAGCTCACCAGGTGATGCCTGTAGTTGTTAAGACCAAGTCCTTACCACAGCGGCCTGGGTCCAGGTCTGGCATGGGCCCTTTGCTGCATGTCATCCCCTCTGTCTCCCCTGCCTTTTCTGTCTGTCTCCGTCACAGTCTAAATAAAACAGAAAATGCCCGAAAATGTTCTCAAAAACCATGTGGTCATCTAGATAGGATGAGATCTAGAATAGACATCTGTTGTCGCAAGAAGTACCAGAGAATAGAGTTGAGTCAATTTCCAGTTGTGCTTGTCTGGTCTGGTTTACGAGCTTAGACTGGTGTGGTGTCCTAACTGGCCGCGAGTGACGCAGTGTGCAATATGACAAAAAGTCAGCGTTTTTCTTCTTCGTAATCTTCCTTCTCTTTAATTTCTGTGTGCACACAGCCTTGCAGTCTCATGCCCTTTAAGGTGGATGGGCCAGGTGTTTACCTTCACTGATTAGGATCAATTGGCACGCGCTTTCATTTTACGAGGACAATGGGAGTTATCATTATAAGAACAATGTTGCAGTTTAAGAGCATGTCATGAATCTGACGTAGACTTTTCTTTGGACCTTTCTGATGAACAAATTTAAGAGAAAACCCAGGTAGATACTGATGGGTGAGGCCCATTGTTTATGTTTATAGAAGCATATTTAGCATTTTACATGTTGTCCTTGCAGGACCCTGTTCCCTCTGCTCCAGACTGCTCACCCTGAGCTAAATTCAAATTTCACTCTGCTCCAGTGAAATTTCTCTGTGTTTGCTGAGTTTTCTTTTAAAAGTATTTGTCAACCAAGCATACAATTTTTACACAGATGCATTCTGGGTCGTGCATGCTTTGAACTCATGGTTTGAGCGGTACTGGAGCAGGATAGAGCAGGAGATGAGGTGACGCTCCAACCTTTAAAAAAAAAAAAAACTGTGAAATCCTTCGGCACACGCTTCACAGCATTTACATGCTTTGGTGTTTGGTCACACTGATTTTAAAACTTGGTTAGGGTTCCTTAAAATATAATGTGTGTGTGTGTAATGTGGAGTGCTGTTAGTATCAGGTACGTGCATGTGGGTGGGAGAATGTCGGCCTTCCTGCATGTTTGTTTATCAACTAGCATTTGCAAGGAAATATGTCGACAGTGGATGACATTGTAAAACGGATACATTTGCAACAAGCAGAAGAGTATTGCCCAACACATTTGCATATTTGTTTATGTGTGGCACACAGTGATACTGCAGATGTATCCATTTGGGGAAAGACCATAGAAATGATGTGTGGGCGAGGAGTGGGTGGAAGGCTTGAGGAAAAACTGCACAGAGAGGAAGAACAGCTAAAGGGCAGGGAAGAACAGTAAGGGTGTGTGAGACTGTTTTCATCTGTGGGTGTGAGTGTAGGCAGAATGGGTCACAAGGCTGGAAACTATCCTGGAAAACCAGTTCTAACACCTGTTTGTTATTCCTTTTAGACAGTACTTCCCTCCGATTGACAGATGTGATATAGCTGAGTGATACTGGCTGGGGCAGTGGGTTGAAGTATCATTCAGAACATGACAGCTGTAGTGTCTTACTGTCTTGTATAGGTTCATCAAACTGGTCAACAACACATAACACAAAAAAACGGGTTTTAGTTCATCCTCTACAGTACTATCAAAAGTCACAAAACATTAACATTATCTTGTATTGATTGCACTTTAGTTGAAACACACTGCTACTATGTATATCAAATCTCCATTGTTGCAACAGGCTGACTAGTAATCATTCCCTCCAGAGTTTTGCGGGCCTTTTCTGGGATTGTTGCGGCCCAAAATGCCTGATTTCACAGCAGCTTTTCTAAAATATTGTGATGCAATGCATGTTGCAAGGTTTATAGGTTGTTTTTTTTTTGTTTGTTTTTGTTTTGGTTTTTTTGCAATGATTGCAGGGGCAAATGAAAATTGCAAACATACATGCAATGCTCTCTGGCTTTCGTGCCTATTATTATGAGCATTCAGTCTTTTCCACGGAGTTAGAATCTATTTGTGATGGTTGGGGCAGCAACAGTTGATCGCCAATGATCAGGTTTTGCTGCCATTTGGAGCAGCGCTGAAGAACTGTCTCAGTGAGCTGTTCTCCACCTGCTCTCTGTGAACGGCTAGCATGAGCTAATGCAGCAGCTAACATCCAACACAGAGCCATTTAACGGTCCCAACAGTCTCATACAGATGTTAAAATGGCTTGACTCCGTCCTTAAACCCCTTAATAACCATTGAGTAATGTAAAAGGCCCAGACACACCAAACTGACATCGAAGTCTACTAACTTGGCCAAAAAGTTGCACATGAACACACCACAAGGACTACAGCTGACTGCCAACCAGCACGTACGTTCTTTGCCTGCATGAGAGAAAATATCTCTCCAAATGAGCAGATGGCAGTCATCTGTAATCTTCAGTAACAAAGGGAAATCAGAGGACTGTTTTGATGCCAATTAGCCAGTTAGCACTTTAACAACACAATCCAGTATTGAAAGATCAGAACATATTTTCCATGCATAAGTGAACAATAACAAACCAATGGCTAAAGAAAAATAATCTTACCATATATAACAAGTTTGTTTTGGTCTCACTCCCTCTTGACTTTAGCTCTTTGTTTACATTCCTCACTTCTGTTTCTTTTTTCGTGCGCTGAGCTGAACTGCAGATAAGAGTGATTTCATTTACTGACATGCTCCACCATCCCCAACATGTTCAACAAGCTGAATTAAAAAACGTCAACATTGCAGGACACACCGCAAAGACTATGGCGACAGATGGCCCAACATTGGCTGATGGCCAACTGTCGGTTTGGTGCATCAGGGCCTTTAGCCGTGTGATGCTAACAGTCAGCCCCATCATTGTGTGAGTATTATTCCGTTCCAGGCACAGAGCTCTTGCAGCAGTACACTCATGATCAAGTCAATATGCTGTGCGAAGCTCTACTATGAAATAAGGCTGTGCAATTAATCGATTTTGAGGTCAAATGATTTCAAAATTAATTAATTCGTGGGTAAACGATTTTTGGTCATGGACGCCTGGAGATGTTATTTTGTCTTCTATGGAAGCCACCCATGCGCAGTCAAGTAGGTGAACTAAAAGGATAGTGCACCCAAAAATGAAAATTCAGCCATTATTCACTCACCCATATGCTGAGGAAGGCTCAGGTGAAGTTTTAGAGTCCTCACATCCCTTACGGAAATCCAAGGGGAGAGGGGGTAGCAGCACAACTCCACCTAATGCAGGCGGGGGCGTCCCAGATTAAAACGTCCAAAAAACACATAATTGAAACCACGAAATATCTCCATACTGCTCGTCCGTAGTGATCCAAGTGTCCTGAAGCTCCGACATAAAATGTTGTTTGGAAAAACATTTGAACTCTGTTTTTAGCCTCATTAGTTCTTAACTGCTTCTGTGTACACCGAGCTCACGTGTGCACGCTTGTGCACAAGACCAGCGAAAGCACGTGAACACAAATGAAGGCGGTGCCCATGTCTCACGGTCTCGAGCAATCGCACACACGTGAGCGCGGTGTACAGAGAGGCAGTCAGAGCTGCATGCTACAATGAGGCTAAAAACAGAGTTCAAATGACATTTTTACCAACAACTTTTTATGTCGGAGCTTCAGGACACTTGGATCACTACGGACAAGCAGTATGGAGATATAGGATTTGTGCTGCTACCCCCCCCCCCCCGGGATCTCCTCAAGGGATGTGAGGACTCTAAAACTTCACCAGAGCCTCCTTTGGCATATGGGTGAGTAGATAATGGCTGAATTTTCATTTTTAGGTGCACTATCCCCTGAACTAAGAATAATGCGAGGGTTTGCGAAGATTTCAAAAACAGCGTGCAGAAAAGAAGGTTTTGGACAGAATTGTAAGTTTGCACAGAATTCACAAGGACTGGCTGAATTTGCATTAATTATTGAAATCACAACAAAACAGCAACCTGGAGGGACTGAGTAATGTGAGCAGCAATGTCCATCCATCTATTTTCTGTAACCACTTATTCTCTTGAGGGTCGCTGGAGGGGAAATTCCAGCTGTCATTGGGTGAGAGGTGGGGTACACCCTGGACAGGTCGCCAGACAACCATACACACTCACATTCACATTCACATTCACACCTACTTTCAATTTAGAGTCACCAATTAACCTAACCTGTATCTCTTTGGCCTGTGGTAGCAAGCCGGAGAACCTGGGGAAAACTAACCCTGACATGCTAACTCCATATAGCTGTTAGGTGACAGTGTGAACCACTGCACCACCGTGCCACCCCCAGCAGCAATGTCTTGCAAGGAATTCAGTTCAGCTTGGTACTGACTACACAAATTTGTGTCATTCACATGTTAGTAATGTAAAATTTTTTTAATTTAATTTTTTTTAATTTTATATACTTTATTAATCCCNCTGCACTTTAAGCAGGTATTCATTGTTTCATTTAAAACCCATTGTGGTGGTGTACAGAGCCAAAATGACGACA